GCCGCCATCCTCCGAGCCGGAAAACCTTGGACGTTTCAGCAGATTCTTTGGGAACAAGTTAGGGTTACAACATGAAAAGACATGATGATTAGAAGTGGGGTTGAACGAGGAAAACTATACTTGAATCCAGCAAAAATGTGAGTTTAACCCAGCAAAAATAGTGAATAGTGTGTGATTGGGCCAGAAAACCATGGCGATTAAGCCAGCAAAAATGGGGACTGCCCCAGGAAAAAAAAATATCTTGTCAGGAAAACATGTGCACTTGAACCGGAGAAAATGATGATTTACATGAACCAGAAAAAAAGGTGCTAAAACCTGCATACATTGGGTTTTGCTTGCCCAGCCAAAAAAAAAACAGCTAGAATGGAGTTTTGTAGCCAACAATATAATTGCTCTTGCTAAACAAGAACAACACCGGATGAGAGGACCAGCAATATTGCTTTCTATTGACTCAGACAACTCAGCATGATTCAAACAATGCCAAGCGACTACTGTAGACCAGTTTTGCAATTCATCTGAGATTCCATGTTTGACCCATATCCCATATCCATATTATGGATTGTTATTTCAACGGCCATTTCAGGAACCTAAATTGGAGGTACCTACCATATATAAGGCCTATGTAAGGGCTATGTAAGGGAATATCCCCACAAAATATGGCCTTATATGGTACAGTACCTCCATTTTAGGATCCTGAAATTCCCATTGATTATTACGGTGCATATAGTCAACCAACCTAAAGTGTGCAGAATATCCCCCATCAACCGGATATTAAGTTCGCCAAGCCGCAGGAGTCTAAGCCTGATCCGTATCTTGGAGATTTTCTTCGCAGAACTCATGGCTAATCTGTCAGTATCATAATGTATCTAGATTAACCTAGTATCTTTGAGTTGTAGCTGCTGTAGCTAATAGCTAGTAAGAGCTTATCTTAAAATATCTTATATAATATTATACATCATTCCTATTGCTAATCGTGGACAGCCTACACAAATTGATGTTCTCAGGTCGGGCCGCTGCATTTCAGCACTAGGCTCATCCTGACAACAATCGGAGTTGCACATCTCGGGATCGGTGGAGGGACAGCATCTGTTTAAACCACTAGCCTGTGAATTGATGCACCTGGAAAACTAAAAATACCCTCTGGTAAACAAACATAACTATGGAACATCACCATTTTTGATGGGTATATCAACTATTTCTATGGCCATGTTCAATAGCTTTTTGTATGTTTACCAGAGGGTAAAGACCATGGGTGTTTGAAATGGGAAGCCGCAAAGAAAAATACCAGGTTACAACGGTCCCAGGGCTTGATCATCACAAAAAAATAGAGATCGGTTCGGTCGGTTCTTGCAACCGCAAGCCATCATGGCTGGACATCAGAACCATTGGCTGTTTAAAAATCAAGGTTCCGGAAGCCGAATGGTTTTGATGTTACAAAAGGCTTGATCGTGTTTTGATGCTGAAACCACCTCACAAGCTCTCGTGTTTGATAGTTCATCCCCATTTTGGTGGTTAAAGAAACATGTTGCATGAGTTTATGCAAAAGCTTCAAAACACAGCGAATCTTAGATGACCAGCAACATATATGCTCTTAGCTGGTTCGCACTCACCGCACTCAATTTACAATACATGGCCAATCCTAGATACCCAAAAAACAGTTTCAGCTGCTTAGTGAATATATCCATGCATATCAAAACAAATACAAGCTAAAGCACCCCCCGAAAAAGATAGAACTGCAATTCACGTTCCTTACATTGTGATAAAATGTGATAAATTACTTGCCATTCGTAGGGTAAATTTTCAGATAGATATGGAAAATCAATGAACATCAACCACTGACGATTTTACTGGGGAAACCATAGGTTTTCCATGGTTTTCCATGGTTTTCCATAGGTTTTCCATGGTTTTCCATGGTTTTCCATGGGGAAACCATAGGGTAAATCTATGGTTTTGGGCTCCAGCCAGTCCATGAGTCCCATTGCCTCATCAACCACGGACTTGCCACTGAACTGCCGACCGAAGCGGGAGATGATGACAGAGTCCTCACCGCGGTGCTGTCCATGTCGGTGTAAAATCAACATTTGGCTGCGATTTTTCACCGATTTTTTGAGAGGTTTTAGTGAGAAAATCCCGAGAAAGAGCTGAAAAGGGAAGAAAAACCTTCAAAAGTAGAGGTGTGCAGCTAGAAAAAATCATCTACAAATGAGTTTCCAGCAAACCATGATGACACCGGTATATCAAAATGGCCGGTGGAACCAGCATGGGATTTTGGGGTACCCTGCCGTGTACCCTACCTACTGGATGGGCCAGCGAAATTCTGCACCAGATGATGGCTTATCCCGTTATAATCCCATTTACCGTGTTTCATATAATTACAAATAGGTACCCTGCCTGATGCAGGATTTCGCCACCATCCGTATGTTCAAACCAACCTTTTTTTCCTATGCTATTTTCATGTGCGGGGTGAGGCCCCTGACAACTAGACCTTGCTGGACCCACACAAGGCTGGTCAAAACTTATCATTAGACAAACATATTAGGCCAAATGGCTATCTGGTTGGTGGTTTCAACCCCTCTGAAAAATATGAGTCAGTTGGGATGATTCTTCATATATATTATGGAAACATTAAAAAATGTTCCAAACCACCAACCACCTATAAATGGCTATGGGCAATTTTTTGGGAGGGGAATACAAACGCCCAGTCCGATGTTCAGTCTGAGCCATCCATGTTTTATTAGGACCTGAAATCCTTATCTAAAATATTTTAAAAAAAATGTTGAGGGTTGTATCACCAAGAATAATGTTTAAATATTTTTAAATAGTTGCTAGTTGGTAGAAGCAGCTTCAATCGCTGAAACTCAGTGGGGCTACAGCCCGAAGTGTCGTCTCCAAGACACCGAGTTGTAGGTGGGCGGCAACCCTTTTGGGGTAATATCTTCCACCACCTCCGCTGCCCAACGGCTGCCCAACTTGGCCAACGGGCCCGTTGCGGGTGGGGGGTGTCACGGAATGGCAAGTTGCTTCAATAGTCAGGGTATCTCAGGGTCATCATGGCACTTTGCAAATGTCTTTGAACCTTTAAAACAATGCGGAACCCCACCGGCAATGCGAAATCCACAAGAAATGGAGGTGTCATAGGAAAATCATCCAAGTGTGGATCTTCCGCCACGTTTGATGTTTTATGAGACCGGGTAAAGCGCTAAAACCTTCAGCAACTGTTTTGTTTGTGCGGCCAGCCTCAATGAAAGTCTTCTTAACTACCACCTTCTCTGTGCCTGGCGCAGAGCATCTCGGGACCACATACTGGTGTCGACAATGAGAAGATGAGATTGGCGCACTAGCATGTGGATCGGTCCCCCTAAAACTTTGCAGATTGCCTCAGGCGTCATCTAGTTTCAGTAGTTAGAGTAGTTTACTCATTTCGGAACTAAATTAGGTGCTAAATGTAGGGAATTTTCGGGAATCATCCATAATAACTATGAATAACTATAGCTATAATGATCCCAGCAACCCCCAGCAACCCATCCAGCCACCCTACGTAAAACGCACGCACCATCCCCCAAGGACGTTGACAAAACCCCAGGGCCCTGTTTCGCCATGACCAGAAATCGCCCAGGTCAAAGATTAAGCCACAGGAAATGATGATTTAACCCATATGGGTTAATGTCAATCCATATTAGAAATCCATATTATGGCTAACTTACTAATGGATATAATTTCTAATTGGATTCAAACCCATGGTCCAACATTACATCCAATTTGAAAATTTCACGATCAACGTCACTTTAGCAATGAATTTCTCGAACCACTTTTTGAGCACCCAAACTACAACACCTCCTGGATTGCCAACACTCAGGTCTTCCGATCAATACACATCCCAATCCAACCGTATTATATGTACATATTATATTGTATGTGTATATACATATTATACTGGTTGGTGGTTTCAACCTCTCTGAAAAATATGAAAGTCAGTTGGGATCAGTGTTCCCAATATATGGAAAAAATATGTTCCAAACCACCAACCAGCCAGTCATTTTTAAAAATTAGCTATATATGATCAATAATAGTAACCAAACATTATTAACCATTATTAACCACTATTAACCAAAAGGAGCAATTTCTAGCCAGTGCCTTCGTTCTGGAAAGGCAACTGCAGCATCGCACTCGACATGGTGAATCCGCGGCTTTTCGTCTCGCGGCGAAAATCATCCACTTGAGCCCGGTGCGGCCATGTGAACCCTCGAGAGCTGGGTGGTTGATCACCAGATAGGAAAGGAAGATAGCAAAGTAAGCTATCAATATTCATCTGTCACTATTTTAGTTGAATTTTACATATGTTTTGCAAGTTTTTGCAGGGTGGTGCTTTGGGGTATAATGATGTGTATATTATTATAAGTATATAAATCATGTGGACGACTAAGGAATTGTAATCACCTCCTACACATTGGGTGGGGTGGACCGTGATGACAAATTGATGAACCAGGGTGTATTTGATCCTTGACTGAGATTACCTTGCCAGGTTGATCTGTTGTGCTGAGATAGTTTGCACAACCCTTCTCAGTTTCCATGCTGACACGTAACCCATAATGCCACACAAATAGGCACCTCATAAATATAAAATGAATCAGAAGTTCATACCAACGCCGATCAGTTCATCTGATTCATCTGCCTTTCCTGCACCTTATAATGACACATACCGCCCACACAATCCCGGTTTGCGCTTGATTTGTATCCCCAAAATTGGATCGAGGAGCGTCCCTTCAGTCCTGAAATATTGACCCATTACCATCTTGATGAAATGCCCAGTGTTCTGGCCTCTATTCCCGTGATCTTCAACTTTAGTAGGCTGAAAAACCTATATCTCCACTGCGTCAACCCACTCATTTTTGTTGGACACCGGCTGAAAAACAGATGGTTTTCACAACCACCGTTGTTCTTTTCTTGGGGTTTCAGCTTCACAAACTCTCAAAACTCACTCAGCAGCCGCTATTGCACACCTCCGGCAGGCCCAAGCGGCGACATAAAGCAGGGCTCTCCTGGTGCAGCCCCAAGAATAGATAGAAAAGTGGGAAACCTGGAAATTATGGGGGGTAACATTATCGAACCATTCAATACTAACATCTATCTGCACATGGCTATATGGGAAAATTATCTCAAAAATCATGCAGCATCGGAATGTTTGGGGTGGTAATTGTGGGTAAAACCAATAGTAAAACCCCAGAGTCGAAGGTTTATACCAGCAATGGAGACGGCGTGTTGTTGGATTTACCACTATAATGTTGCCCACTCATTAGTGGGATGGGAAGTTTTATTTTTTTCCAAGCATAAATCAGTGTTGCGGGCATGGTACCCATGGGAGTCAAGCCAACAAACATCACTCGGACTCTGCAATGAAAAGGGGAAGTCATTAACATCATCCCAAATGGGGCCCAATGAGGAAAAACTGGGGTTTGATGATTATGATTGCGTTTACCTCATTTGTATTTTACAATGGTTAATATTGAACATGGTGAAGATACTAATCTTGGAATATTGCAAATAATATACATATATATATATATATCTACATTCTATACTGGTAGTTTCTCTGGGTGCTTTTTCCAGTATACAGTACATGTACTATATATATATATACATACATACACATTGGACATGATTTCGAAATCCAATTACCACTGCATCATACTGAATGATTCATTATAAGAATGTGTTCAATATATCGTGAGTATATATATATATAAAAATATATACATATGTATATATATATATGCATATGTATATATGTATATGTATATGTATACATATATATATATATGTATATATATATACATATATGGGGGGGTTCCTAAAATATGGGTACCCAAATCATCCATTTATAGATGTTTTTCCATTATAAACCAACCATTTTGGGGTAACCCCCCATTTATGAAAACCCCCATATACAGTAGCAATATCTTGCTGATTCTGGGATCTTGAAAACTCTACTAGACATGCTTGAAAACCTGCTAGAAATCACTGCTAGGTATCATCACTGGCCTTGAGGCATCATCATCAAAAAATCAGGGAAGGTCCACCACGGTCTCCAATGACAGATGATCACCTATTCTAGCAAGAACTCCCCTCCCTAGAGGTCGTCCTTTTGAAGGGTATGCCCGGTTATTTGCCCCATCAGACAGACTCAAATTGTGTGTTTCTAGATGTTTCTAGAAAACGTTGCAAGGCTCTCTTCCAAAAACGGAACCCAACTTGATACCGTGATGAATCATCTAAGTGGGAGACCCGTTTTCAAGCATTCCCCATCTCCAGCGTCTGCACACGGCCAATGCCAAGGGAGGATACGCCCAAGTAACAGCTGGTCACCTGAGAAATCTCCAGGTCAAATACTGGACATTGTCCATGGTAAACAAATTAACATGGTTTCTGGGTGATGTACAAATAATGGAAATATACATTATCATATAATATTACACATAATGATATACTTATGACTGCGACTTCCCAGAAGTTTTTTTGTGAGTTGTTTCAGTCATTTTTGTAAATTAAAATTGGAATCAAACAAATCATTCTACAGTTTGCATGGTGGTGTCAAATAGTTTAGGAAGGACAACCATAAATTTTGAACCTCAACGCAGAACCGCTGCCACGCAACCAGGCGCAAAACACCGTAGACCGATTGACGGCTTTTGGGTTTGCACTCTTTGTGATACAATTGTAATTGCCTAATGACAGTCTAGCAGCAGCAGCAACAGCAGCAAACATGGCTACGTACCCTATAGCTACGAATCCGCTGAACATACTCTCACTGTGCCAGGAGTGCCATTTCCTTTGTTGTCGTACATGTCCTGTATCCCGCATTGTCTGTTTATGTTAATATAATGACACAAGGCGCTCTGTTTCTGACTCTACATCTTATGTCATACAGTCATATATGATGCTGTATTGTATTGTATTGTACTGTATTGTATTGTATTGTATTGTATTGTAGTGTAGTGTAGTGTATTGTATGTACGATGCAGTATGATATCAACATGTATTAGATCCTACCTTACGATATTGTACTATATTGATATGCTATGCTATATTCATAGTGACTAATATGCGAATAATAAATATCAGATATAATATACATATGTATATATATATATCATGTATATATAATAAAATATAGGTTAGATAATCTATAATATATTATCAAAACAAATATATATTATTTAATTTATATAGCGTTTATAAAATTGTAAAACAAATTGTATACAATAAAAAATAAAAGATATATAACATAGAAAATAAATAATGTACAATGTATCATATATAGAAAAAGAATATACAGTAGAATATAAAAGAAATAAATATATATATATATAAATATTAAATAACAAAACAATATATAACATATAAAACAAATAAATATATAATACATAATAAAGAATATATAATGTTTATTTAAAATGAAAAACATATATAATTTATAATGAATAGAAAATATATACCATATAAAAAATAAATAACTAAAAAAGTCTAATTTACAATGAAAAATATTTCACAAATATAAAATATAAGGTATTTAAAAAAAAAAATAATAAATAATATACAATATATATAGTATACGTTATACAATATATAAAATAAAATACATAACATATAATAAATGTTGTAAAATCAAATGTAACATTTAATATATAAGATAAAATGTTTAATACATAATATACAATATAACATATTAAAAGTACAATATTCAATATTTAAACTATAATATGTGATATTTAAACTATAATATTTAATATTTAATCTGAAACAGAAAATAGAAGATAGTTAATATATAAAATATATAATAAATAATATATAAAATATAAGATTTAACATATAATATATAATATATAAAATAGTTTTTTTAATGCACCATTTGATATAATATATAATATTTAATGTTTAATCTATAATATATAGAATACATTTTTTATATGATATATAATATAGTTTCTAAAAATATAGAAATATATACATTACAACATATGGTAATAATAATACATAATACAGTTTAAATAAGAGTAAACATAATAAGATCTATAAAACATAAAAATAACAATAGTATTTAATACAAATTATAACATACAATACATAATGTATGTAATATAGTATGTAGCATAGTTTGTAGTATACATATATATATAATATTTATGGCATATTAAATAATATTATGTATAATATTTATTTATTTATGTATTTATATATATATATTATTTATCGAAGCAAATTTAGAAACCAAACTTCCGACAATATGGACAGATGAAAAGCAGAGATGGGAAGAGTCAGAGAAGAGAAGAGAAGAAGAAAGAGAAAGAGTCAGAAGAAAGAAGATCCAGGCAGGCGAAAAGGTAGGAAAGTCGCGAAACACTATGTTTTTCCAATGATTTGAGGCTCCGGAGGGTCGAAAAGGCGCTAAAGCGGCGGGTGCGGAGCCAGCAGGCCAGATGAGAGATGAAAAATTGCACGCCGTTGTGGCGCGAAGCACATTTCCAAGTCAAAATGTACAAAATACACCAGCTTCGGAGCACTTTTGGAAGTTGCGATGTCGAAAAAGTGCACGCCGTTGTGGCGCGAAGCTCATGTCGAAGTCAAAATGTACAGAACACACCAGGTTCGGACCACTTTTGGAAGTTGCGATGTCGACAAAGTGCACGCCGTTGTGGCGCGAAGCACATTTGCAAGTGAAAAAGTTAAAAGCACTTCACGTCCGGAGCACTTTTGGAAGTTGAGATGTCGAAAAAGTGCACGCCGTTGTGGCACGAAGCACATTTCGAAGTCAAAATGTACAAAACACACCAGGTTCAGAGCACTTTTGGAAGTTGCGATGTCGCAAAAGTGCACGCCGTTGTGGCGCGAAGCACGTGTCGAAGTCAAAAGTGCAAAAACCTGAGGGTTCGGAGCACTTTTTGACGTTCAGATGCCGTTTCGCGTGGCAGGCGCAATGGATTGTCAAAAGTGAGCAAAAAAAAAAAGATGGTTTTTGTAACATTTCCAAAAACAATGGCAGGCGTGGGACATTTGAAGAGGATCTGCTAAGATGCATTTTCCGTGGCAGGCGCAGTACAAGAGACATGTTCATCAGAGCTGTTAGGAGGTCCGGGGGCTGATTTCCTGAGAGGGGTTGCCGGGGTTGCAATTTGGAGCCTCAGATCTTCAGGTTTGCTGAGATGATTTTGCGTGACAGGTGCAGCACTTCGTATGACCTGACATCCGTGGCAAGCGCAGCAGTTTAGACAGATGGACTGGAAAAATCGCAAAACGCATTGGTACGAGGCCGTCAGCTCTGCACTCAACTTTCCATTTTTGAAGGACGTCTCGCAGAACTGCTTCGTTTATGATGATGTCAAGTGCAAAAATTGAGGAAGTCTCGCTGAATTGCTGCGTTTTTGATATTGCCAAGTTTAAAAACTGAGGACGTCTCGCAGAATAGCTTCGTTTTCAAGCTTGCAGATGGATAGATAGATAGACAGACAGATAGATAGATAGATAGATCGATAGATAGATAGAAAGATAGGATGAGATGAGATGAGATGAGATTAGATGAGATTAGGTTAGATCGTTAGAAAGAAAGAAAGATAGATAGATAGATAGATAGTTAGATAGATAGATAGGTAGATAGATATAGATAGATATAGATAGATTTAGATAGATAGATAGATAGATATAGATAGATAGATATAGATAGATAGATAGATAAATAGATAGATGTATAAATATAGATAGATAGATAGATAGATAGATAGATAGGTTGATAGATTGATAGATTGATAGATAGATATAGATAGATTTAGATAGATACAGATAGATATAGATAGATAGATATAGATAGATAGATAGATAGATAAATAGGTAGATGTATAAATATAGATAGATAGATAGATAGATAGATTGATAGATAGATACAGATAGATATAGATAGATAGATAGATATAGATAGATAGATAGATAAATAGATAGATGTATAAATAGATAGATAGATCGATATAGATAGATAGATAGATAGATAGATAGATGAATAGATATGTATAAATAGATAGATAGATAGATAGATAGAAATATAGATAGATAGATAGATAGATAGATAGATAGATAGCTAGATAGATAGATCGATAGATAGATAGATAGAAAGATAGGTAGATAGATAGATTGATAGATAGAGAGATAGATAGATTAGATAGATCGGATAGAATAGATAGATTATAGATAGATAGATAGATAGATGGATAGATTGATAGATAGATAGATATATAGATAGGGATATAGATATAGATGTAGATATAGATATAGATAGATATAGATAGATACAGATAGATATAGATAGATATAGGTAGATATAGATATAGATAGATAGATAGATAGATAGATGGAAAGGATAGGATAGGATAGGATAGGATAGGATAGGAAAGGATAGGATAGGATAGGATAGGTTGATAGATTGATAGATTGATAGATTGATAGATTGATAGATTGATAGATTGATAGATTGATAGATTGATAGATTGGTAGATTGATAGATTAGATAGATATAGATATAGATATAGATATAGATATAGATATAGATATAGATAGATATAGATAGGTATAGATAGATATAGATAGATATAGATAGATTTAGAAAGATACAGATAGATATAGATAGATAGATAGATAGATAGATAGATACATAGATAGATAGATAGGTAGGTAGATAGATAGGTAGATAGATAGATAGACAGATAAATAGTAAGATAAGATAAGATAAGATAAGATCATATAAGAAAAGATAATAAAAGAAAAGATAAGATAATATAAGAAAAGATAATAAAAGAAAAGATAAGATAATATAAGAAAAGATAAGATAAGATAATATAAGAAAAGATAAGATAAGATAATATAAGAAAAGATAATATAATATAAGATAAGATAGATACATAGATAGATAGATAGATAGGTAGGTAGGTAGGTAGTCAGAGAAAGAGAGAGAGAAAGAGAGGAGACCTCAAGCACCTTTCGGTCCATCATTGGCTTCGCTCTGCCATCCGTGATTCACAACAACCAACCGCTCCTATAGGTTTCCTAGCTTTGAAACTTCCGCCACCGCCTTCTCCGGTACTACTGGTAATATATATTTATATATATTATTCATAGTATGTATATCTATATATATATACACATTCAAAATATGTATACCCATCCTGCATATATGCATGCAATCTACATCTATGTACGCAATATGCTCTTACATGGGTCAAATCCCGGAAATTTTCTGATTTCTGAGTCGTTGAATGGTCCATTTCCAACAAAGGAAGCTTTGGACGACTACCGAGTGGACATCATCTAGTCATTCACGACGAAAATGTAATTCTGGGATATTCTGGGAACAGTTTTGCTTGTGAGCTGCGTGATGAACAACAATGGAGGTTACCCAGGTTACCCTCAGTCACTTTTTGAGCAATTGGGATTGGTTTACCGAAACTGCCGATGCCTTGAAATGTGTTTCGAACATGGTGGACATTCCATGAAATTCTCAAAAACTTCAACACGTCTGTCTGGCTTTCAAAATAAACTACACACCAAATGTTGAACGTTCTAAGGTAAAATTGCACAATCACTATCTTCTCCATTAAAAAGGTTGTTAACATGCTAATTTCAGGAGTGTACTTGAGTGTATCCTATGTTCAAATTGGTCGTCCGTCTGGGGCTGTGACCCGTAGATCTTCGTGGGTTTCTGGCGGGATAAGGACATCCAAAGATCACTCGAGTTCACTGGAAATCATCATGAACACGGGAAAATAGTTGGATATATATATATATATGTGCATACTTAGATAATGACCAAATCCCAACGTCATGTCCAAACTGGATGGTTAAATATGGCCTTCCAGCAAATATTCGTGTGAAATCTAGTGATGTAATCATCAAAAAATCAAACATAACCAGCAATCACCAGCAACAAGTATGATCAGAAATGGTTTTCCAGCAACAAGTTTGACCAAAAATATCATCAACAACAAATAACAACAAAAACAGTACCATAGTGGTAGATAATGGCTAAATTGGCTAAATCCCTCAGCAAACACTGGTGGTTGTTGACCCCCTAAGTTTGCTCATCCCCTCCAAGAAGATAGGCATGTTGTGAACCAGGATGGTATTTACCCATGGTTACCCTATGTTTCCCAGGTTTCCACCTGTCCCATCTATTTCGGGCTGCTATCTTCGTACTATTATTAATATGTATATTATATGATATAATATATACTATCATGTGTAAAACATATATATATATCCATTACATGATCATCTCCCATCAGTCAAACAGTCAAAACTTTAATTTTTCCCTTTTACATACAGTACATATATACATCCGCATCCCAATCACATATTCATTCTCTTCACCATGGGTTATCATAGTGTTCTCCTGTAAATCGTTGACATTGCAGGATTGTTGGTTCGTTCCCATTCCTAATATGTGAATAAACATCACCGGCAAGACACACTAGGCCACCCTACCGATGCAGGAAATGAACTGTTCCAGCACCTGTGACCGAGAAAAAACTCAGAAATGTGGTGAACTGTTTAAACTACTTGGCGGCGAACTACCCAGGAATCGTAAGTGGGTTAATTCACCACAGTTGTAAAAGACAACAATGAAATGTTGTACATATAAATAACTTATAGAACATAAAATGACAGATAAAGTGAACTATTGATAACTATTGTAGTTGTTTCTTTAACCAAGATCATCTTGTGAAACACCAGCGAAACAGGTCTAAGGGGTAAACCCGGGTAAACTGTCTTACATCGATACACAAATTGTGCTTCAGCATGTTGAGAATCTAGTTTGCTGGGACGTACCGAACCTGGGACGGAATGATGTAGCCAATATTCGATGCCTCGGTTTGAATCATCCACAAGCAGCAACATCCGAGGGGAGGTGTCCGTTTTGGAAAATGGGAAAGTTGTGTTCCAAATATGTCCAAATCATCGGAAAATGGGTCTGACTATGACTTAGTTTTTTTATGTTAACCCATGGTTCTCCGACTGGGGACCCCCAATGACTTCAGAAACCCCCATGAAAAAGTCATCATGGTCGTCATCCTCGTCCGGTCCTAACATGATTTCCCCAGTCAACCCGTCGTCTTTGAATCCGAAAGTCTTCGTATCTGGTATCTAAAAAATGGCGACCTGGTGATGGCGCATCATTCTTTACCTAGCAAACATGCTGATTATCCACAGTTAAATGTCAAAAATTACCGGAGGGTATAATCATATTCTAAAATCTATAAGGCTGAGCAGGTCACTTGAAATCATCGACATTGGTCCCAGCTTAAGCCTCCTTTTCCCAGCGACCGATACACCATCTTCCGGTCTTCCTGGGTTCGTTGAGTTTAATCATGTCATATGGTTCTTCTAAAATTCCATGTCCCCATGTCTTCCTCGCAACCGTTGCGGCCCGGTACGTTCTTCAGGTGGCTGCAGGCCATCCCTACCACCAGGCCATGTGCTCCCAAGACGGGGCCCCCCGAGTTGCCTGGCGCAGGGATGTCGCTCCAGGGGATAGTGGGATTTCAGTGACTCAAGGGGATTTGATATGAGGTTTAGGCATCCATCATGGTCATGGTGATACTGGTTTTTAGTGGTTGACTAAAGTGGCAAAACTTCATCCAGGATACGAAAGGTGTACAATGACAAGAATGAAACTCTCCGAAACTCTGCAATTTTTGCTCTTCCGCTACGCTCCGATCAGAAACGGGCGCCGCATGGACCCCTCCTCCGGGCTCCCGGATCTCCCGGATCTCCCGGATGTCGTGTGGGGACGATGCGCAGCGTGACACGGCCGAAAAACCGGTCAAACCAATCCACACCTTGCTGCCCGACTCTTCTCCAGTGATCGACTTCAAATAGACCTGGGGTAATTTGTGTGGTTTTGTGCTTGAAAAAACAAGGCTACAATGTAGTGCAAAATGCCATCTCTGGTGCATTTGTTCACAAAATGTTGAAATCCTAAATTATATGGAGTCATCCTGTTCATTGATGTTGGTTCATCAATTTTATCCAATCCTTGGGTGAAAATATGGAAATTCGACGAGACCTGCTTGGCCAACACCAAGCGATCGTCTGGAAAGTGAATGGGCAGAGCAAGCTTCCTGGGCGGAGCCAGGGTATCCCATCCTGAATGGGGTGTGTTACGTATATTTTTGATGTAAACAACTATAAACATACATGCCATACCATACCATACCATACCATACCATACCACACCGTACCGTACCATACCATACCATTGCATTAAATTACACTACATTACATTACATATATATATGGGAAAATTATCATATTTCAATATTAGTTAATACTAAAATGGAATGGTCATAAATATATTCTAAATATACTAAGTATAAATGGGATGGGATGGTCATAAAATGGTCATACTAAAATATACTAAATATATTCCAAGTGGGATGGTCGTCCACGAGACGCGACTACTAAACAACTGCCTGGACTCAACAAGTCAATGAGCTGGCCCTCTGGACACTGAAAAACAACGAATTCTGCTGTGGGTAATATAGGGTAACAGTATAAATACATATGTATATGTATATATATATATGTACATATGTGTGTAAATATACAGATATATATAATTACATATATATATATATGTATACATATAAAAAAATGTATGTAAATACATATACATATGTATTTACACACATGTGTATATTATATATATATATGTGCATTCCAAATCGAGATGACTTCAGTATGGATAATCATGGAAAATCTTACATTTTCAGATAACTTTACAGAAACAACTTGATATGATGTTTGGGTGTAAGTGAAAATGGATGATGTACCTACCATACTCAGGATATAATCTGAGTACACTGGGTATATATATATTTGTATATACATAATATATGTAAGCTTTTTTTACCAATTTGATATCTGAGTGTGTCTGAAAATGGGGAATGCACCAAAATAACAATTATGAATTATAAAGGGCAAATTGATGATAAACAATGATATTTGGATTACCATATTTTCAGACAAACTCATACTTTGACAAAACCTTGCCTGATGGCTGAGCCACCCATCTGAAAAATATGTTTGTCAATTGGGATCACCATCATTGGTAAGATTGAACATCATTCAGATTGTATTTGTAAACAAAAACAACTACTCGTACTCGTTTGCCCCGTTCCAATGATCAATGTGCGAAATATGGCGACATGGATTCTCTGGTTCACCTTCCTGCGACTTGTTTGTGAAAACCTTCTCACGTTCCAACTTCCAATCCATGTGTTCTTTTCGTTTCCATCATGTGGTGCTTTTAAAAAAATCCTGAAATCTACTTTAAAAAACCTTGGCATCCCCCAAAATTGGTAAATCCAAAAGCCAGTTGACCAATCAGCCGTCTTTCACGTTTCCATGTCCGGCTACAACGCTCGCCATGGCCAAACTCGTCAAGGGACAAGTCTTGGGGCGGCAAATTGGGGGTCCAAAAAGCCTTGTCTGCGAACTCCGCCACCTGCAGAGTTGTGGTCTTTTTCACGGCGAAGTATTAGAGGTAAATCATGGTGAACTGGTGAATAGTGGTGAATCATGGTTCATCGTGGTTGATTTTTTGACCATTATCTTTTTCTCATCCCACTGAGCTCGTAACGTGCACATCAAAAATTGTAATACAAGATTCAGTTTCAAGTACTACATAAAAATATTTATGTCTGATACTTATCAAAATACATTAATGATACGTATCATGCATGGTAAATACTATGTAATAATGCAGAAATTTTCATTCTACAGCATTAATGATAGAGTGCACTACAAATTGATACCAAATATCAAATGTTTGTCATGAAATAACAAAAAATATGTCGGGGCCCAGTATCCCCTGAGAATTGGGAAGTGTGATATGTTTTTTCTTTTGCCCAAATGATTATGTCACATGTTTGTGTGTGTTTCCCCCATTTTTGTGATATTATCCCATCATGATCGGCTATAATATCCGAAGTTGTAGGCTCAAACAAAGAAATTCCATTGAATTAAAAATATTATAGACATCCATAAAAATCAAGTAAATCTGAATCCATAATCCCATCAATCCATTGAATTTTTAGATCCATTTGATAATCTAAAACAAAAACACGGCACACCTTCGCTTTGAGGTTCGGCCATTCCGCAGGGACCACCATCTTCTTCATGCTGGGCATCGATGACTTCGACTCTGGCGGTTCATCCTTTCGGCGCCGGAAACGGAGGTGCGCCTTCACCACGTCTTGGCTTTCGGTGTTCACATCCTAAGTGGACGTGTGGCGTGCTTCCATGCATCCGTCATTCTTTTGTTACATGAACATGTGAACGATATGTCTATACAGCTGTATTAGTACTTGTTATATGTACACTATATACATGAATACACATATTCGTGTAGACATGTATAAACAGTGTATATGGATCAAAATTACTACTCCACTTCAGCCACGTCTCCACCAGCAAAGCCATTTCCCGCAGCTCTGGAACACCTGTGGTACCATGGGTCACCCACCAAAAACACTCCCGGGGCAGATTCACAGTTAGATATAGACCTCAGAACGAATGACCAAGAGTGAAGATAATAGTTTGGATAATTGGATGTTCAAATTTTAAATGAAATGACAATTTAAAAAAAATACCATTCATTTTTTTGTTTGGATAGTGGAGACTCCGCTGTCGAAACTGCAAAAATGATCAAACTTGTGTGACGCAATAATGCGGGATCAACCACAAAATCAGAAGCACAAATGAAAATGCATTGCCTGGTTGGTGGTATAACCCATCATCAAATTGGATCATCCCAAATAGTAGGGTTCCCCTCGTTTTTGTTCCTGTGATTTTTGCCGTGAGCTCATAAATTAGGCAGGAAACAGTTCCCTGAAGGCTACCGGTTTATAGGTTATCGAGTCCCAGTTGCATCATGGGTGTATACCATGATATCCCAGTGTCTCTATCTAAATGTATAATTAATTATATTCCCAGTAATTATAAGCAATCTCGAACTATACATATTATTATATAGATACAGTTAGATATTGTTAAATACCAGTGCATATAAATAGGTATAATTAGATAATATGACTTGAAGTAATTAGGTACAATAACATTCCCGCCGAAAAGGAAATAATATTGCTGTTTCTTTCACGGAATATATAATTGAGTTAAAATCGTACATACAATATATGTATATATACACATAATATTGTGACATATTATATATATATACATATCACAGACCTATCCGCATTGTTCTATTGAAGTTTACAGTTCTATATATCCCAGTTCTATCCCAAGTAAACAAAACACCTCTATCTTCATTCTGTAGTTTGTATAGTTTACATCCCAGATATACACTATATCATATTGGGTCATTGTCCCAGTATATCCTCAAAATATTTCCATATTATGTCCATTACATCCCAGTTACTGTATTGATAGTTGAATCCCCATATCCGCATTACATGGTCTGGCTTATATCGTTTAATCTTGGATATTCCAAAATTACATTCCACGAATGTAACAGGCTCTTATCCCACTTTTAAGTTCCAGTTACGTATAATACTAATCAATATCATATCATATTTTCTAATTATATATCCTAGTTATCCTAGTTATATATCCCGGACATATTATATACATTTAAAATGGTCGATCCCCAAGTCACCATTGGTTTCAATACCAAGTCATGGTCGCATGACTTGGATGAGGGTACCTCCACAACCCAGGAAACCTCCATTTTTTAAGTGGTGATCACTATCAAGAAACGTAATTCGTTCATAAATGTGCCATGTTCGAATCAATATTAGCTTACCCTAGGGTAAATTAGATTCTCATTTAAATTAACATCAATATGTCGTATATCATGTGGTAAACCCAATATTAAATCACCCCCAAAACCACCATTACGGATGCTGCAATGTGCAAACCATATTATATTAGATACCCCCAGCGAGGACCCGAAAATAATTAGATTCACCACTAAACCAAGGTTTTGAATATTATATAAATTAAATCTCCATTTAATTTGGGGGTTTACATAAATGGTGGTGCCCCAAACTGGATGGAAGTTTATCATATAAAATTCTATTGAAAGGCATGATTTGGGGGTACCCCTGTTTCAGGAAACCTCCAATTTTAGAGAATGATCAGGTATTTGATACTGGTTGGAAGATTAGTTTCCATTAAAATTGTGTTTTTTTCAAATTTCTTCTTTTCTTCTCTGCACGCTACTCGTTAGAGCTAAGCGTTTCCCAGGAAAAACCCTGCGCACTGTAGAGTCTTACGCAAGTGAGAGAGACAAAGAGGCGGCCTCTCGCACCGATGCCCACTCGCACCAAATTTGTTCAGGGTCCACCTGTTAATCTACCAAAGGGTAACCATCCGATGTTCAAAGCCCGTGTTGGTTGATGAATAGTTAAGGGATTATACTACCCAATATGTTGGTGATTATAAACATTAATCCAAGAACGGGGAACCCTATTAACTAACCAGTATAATGACCTAAAATTTTAAACACTCATGATATAGATTTAAAACATGTATATTGGATATATTATATATATAATATTACTAATATTAACACGTCTATATTATATACACGGAAAACCCATAAATCCCCATAAATCATCCCCCCGGGCCTGGCAGAAAACTCCGCGACTCCCCCATCCTCGACGACGACGGCCCCAGGCTCCGTAGCGACGACGTGCTGCCGGGGTCGCCGCCGAGGTTGGGAAGCAGCTGGGGCGGGGCGTCTTCCTGTGCACCAAGAGGGATCTAAAGGGCCAAACACCCTAGCAAACATGAAAAAACCATGGGAAACATGGGAAAAACCATGGGAAACATGGGAAAAACCATGGGAAACATAGTGAAAAACAATGGGAAAGATGGGAAAAACCATGGGAACCGTAAGAAAAACCATGGGAAAGATGGCAAAAAACATGGGAAACATGAGGAAATATGGAAAGGGAAACGTACGAAAAACTAGGGGAAACATTGTGAACTAGACGACGGATGGCCCGAGAGCGTAGAGGAGCAGAGTCTTCTGTTGTTAGTATGGAGACACTATATTACAAGACAATATTAAAAATGTATTAAAGGCAGACGAGAAGAGTAGTATCAAGACAATATATCACAAACACAAGACAATAGTTTGCATCGTATCTTTCGTATGGTTCTACACACAGATTTTTTTTACAAACAGACGCTTTTGCACACAGAGGCTTTTACACACAGACGCTTTTAACACAGACGCTTTTACACACAGACGCTCTTACACACAGACGCGTTTGCACAAAGACGCTTTGACACACAGAAGCTTTTACACCAAGAAGCTTGTACACACGGAAGCTTTTACACACACACACACGCTTTCACACACAGACGCTTTTAAACAAAGAAGCTTTTACACACAGACGCTTTGACACACAGACGCGTTTGCACACAGACGCTTTTAGACGTCTTTACACACAGACGCTTTTACACACAGACGCATTTACACACAGACGCTTTTACGCAAAGAAACTTTTACAGACAGAAGCTTTTGCACACAGACGCTTTTACACACAGGCGCTTTTACACACAGCCACTTTTACACACAGAAGCTTTTACACACAGACGCGTTTACACACAGACGCTTTTACATACAGACGCTTTTAAACAAAGAAGCTTTTACACACAGACTTTTACACACAGACACTTTTACACACAGACGCTTTTACACACATGCTTTTACACACGGACGCGTTTACACACGGACGCGTTTACACACAGACACTTTTACACACGGACGCGTTTACACACAGACGCTTTTACACACAGACGCTTTTACACACGGACGCGTTTACACACAGAATCTTTTACACACAGACGCGTTTACACACAGACACTTTTACACACAGACGCTTTTACATACAGATGCTTTTGCACACAGACGCTTTTACACACAGACGCATTTACACACAGACGCTTTTACACACGGACGCGTTTACACACAGACGCTTTTACACACAGAAGCTTTTACACACAGACGCTTTTACACACAGACGCTTTTACACACAGACGCTTTGACACAGACGCGTTTGCACACAGACGCTTTTACACACAGACACTTTTACACACAGACGCTTTGACACAGACGCTTTTACACACAGAAGCTTGTACACACGGACGCTTTTACACACAGACGCTTTTGCACAGAGACGCTTTTACACACAGACGCTTTTGCACACAGACGCTTTTACACACAGACGCTTTACACACAGACGCGTTTACACACAGCACTTTTACACAAAGAAGCTTTTACACACAGGGTTACTGCGTTTAGTTTGTTGTGAATATTCGCAATTTTACCTCAGTTTTTGGCGATCGAACCTCATTTCGTGCGAAAGGGTTGCCGCGGCACACTCAAAATCTCAATTTTACCTCAGTTTTGGGCGATCGAACTTCATTTCGTGCGAAAAAGTTGCCGCGGCGCACTCAAAATCGCAATTTTACCTCATTTTTTTTGGCAATCGAACCTCACATTTCGTGCGAAAGGGTTGCCGCGTTTGTTGTGAATATTCGCAATTTTATTTCAGTTTTTGGCGATCGAACCTCATTTCGTGCGAAAGGGTTGCCGCGGCACACTCAATTTTACCTCAGTTTTTAGCGATCGAACCTCATTTCGTGCGAAAGCGTTGCCGCTGAGGTTGTAAAATCGCAATTTTACCGCAGTTTTGGGCGATCGAACCTCGTATCGTGCGAAAGGGTTGCGTTTCGTGCCGTCTCGTTGGCACCGCCCCGCGCCTTCAAGAGAGAAATAGAAAAGAAGGAAAGAGCAAGAGGGCAAGAGAGCAAGAGGGCAAGAGAGCAAGATGGCAAGAGGGCAAGAGAGCAAGAGGGCAAGAGAGAATGTGAAGATGTGAGGATGTGAAGATGTGAAGATGTGAAGATGAGAAGATGTGAAGATGAGAAGATGTGAAGATGTGAAGATGAGAAGATGTGAAGATGTGATGTGAAGATGAGAAGATGAGAAGATGTGAAGATGAGAAGATGAGAAGATGTGAAGATGTGAAGATGAGAAGATGTGAAGATGTGAGGATGTGAAGGTGTGAAGATGAGAAGATGTAAAAGATGTGAAGAAGAGAAGATGAGCAGAAGATGTGAAGATGTGAGGATGTGAGGATGAGAAGATGTGAAGATGTGAAGATGTGAGTATGTGAGGATGTAAAGATGTGAAAATGTTTGACAGACCCCCACTATTAGAAGAACCCTTCGCTCAGACGCTCTCGGGAAAAACTATTGAAACATGGGGAAACCTCCCCCTTTCAAACATGGGGAAAACGCTCAGAAACATGCGGAAAATTATGGGCAAAATGACGGGAAAAATGCGAAAAACGATCGGAAACATGGGAAAAACTATGGGAAACATGGGGAAAACTATTATTATGGGAAACATGGGAAGAAATTGGAAAGATGGGAAGTATGGGAAAAACCATGGGAAGCATTGGCAAAAATTGGAACCATGGGAAAACATAGGACACATTGCAAAACCATGGGGAACATGGTGAAAAACGATTGGAAACATGGGAAAAACGTAGGGAAACATTGGAAAAAACGATGGGAAATTGAGAAAAAAAACTTGGGAAACGTAGGAAAAATATGGGAAATATGGGAGGCATGGGACAAACCATGGGAAACAGGGTGAAAAACAATGGGTCACGGTAGAAAAACAATGGGAAACATGTGAAGAACCATGGGAAACACCGGGAAAACTAGAGGAAACATAGGGGAAAACTACAGGAAACATTGCCAAAAACCATGGGAAACATGGCGAAAAACCATGGGAACATTGGACAAACCACGGGAAACATGTGAACAACCATGAGAAACATGTGAAAAACATCAGAAACATGGGCAGAAAATTGGAAACATATGAAAAACCATTGGAAACATTATGAAAAACAGAAAGAAACTTGGGAAAAACAATGGGAAACACTGGAACATATGGGAAAAACCATGGGCAACATAGGAAAAACCATGGGACATATGGGAAAACCATTGGGGATGTGGGGAAAACCATGGGAAACCATGGGAAAAACCATGGGAAACACATAGGAAACACTATGAAAAAAGGAAAAGCAATGGGAACCATTGGAAAAAAAAGGGAAAACATGGAAAAAACAATGGGAAACATGGGAAAAACTATTATGGGAAACATGGGGAAAAATGGGGAAACATGAGGAAAACTATGGGAAAAAACCATGGGAAACATGGGACAAACGATCGGAAGCATAGGAAACACTATGAGAAACATGGTTCAAAGGATCGGACACATAGAAAAAAATATAGGAAACACGGGAGAAACTATGGGAAACATGGGGAAAATTGGAAGCGGAAAATCTGTGGGGCACATGGGGAAAACCATGGGAAACATTGGATAAACCATGGGAAACAAAGGCAAAACAATGGGAAACATGGGAAAGAGTATGGAAAGCATGGGAACAAACAATGGGAACCATGAAAAACACTTTTATGGAAAACATGCGAAACATTGGAAACAAGATGCAGCCCACGAACCCGAATACAGTCACGTAAAACACTTTTGTGAAACACGTGATTTGAACAGTCTTGTACATTTTTCCCAGTGCACTGTAGGCTGTGGGATCCAGAAGAGGGCGGAGTGCAAATTGTGGGGTGTGAAGCCAAAGGTTATAAGGGATCACTTGGAGCACCGGAAAGTGGATCACTTAGAGCACCGGATCACTTAGAGCACCATGGGATCACTTAGAGCACCAAAAAAGTGGATCACTTAGGGCACCAAAGAATCATACCTTTAGGGTAACACTTGGGGACACGGGGCTGGGACATTGGGTCAGGCACAGCAACCTCATCATCTTTCTTGCTGTCCTGCAGACACAGGCACTGCACTGCTCTTTCATGATCAGTTACCCCATGGGGGTGGGGTGGGGTAATAACGTTCATGTTCCTGTGCACACACAGGCAAGACATTCCTGCTACGTCGTAACATCTTCGTCAAGTGACTTGCAAGACGTTCCTGATACGTTGTAACATCTTCTTGAAGTAACTTGCAAGACGTTCCTGATACGGCGTAACATCTTCGTCAAGTAACTTGCAAGATGCTCCTGATATGTTCTAACATCTTCGTCAAGTCACTTGCAAGACGTTCGTAGCTTCCAGGACGTTCCTGATACGTTGTCATATCTTCTTCAAGTAACATGCAAGACGTGCCTGCTACGTTGTAGCATCTTCGTCAAGTAACTTGCAAGATGTTCCTGATACGTCGTAACATCTTCTTCAAGTAACTTGCTAGATGTTCCTGATACGTTGGAACATCTTCTTCAAGTAACTTGCAAGACCTCCCTGAGGCGTTGGAAACTCTTCTTCAAGTAACGTGCCAGCTGTTCCCGATACGTTGTAACGTCTTCGTCAAGTAACTTAATTGCAAGACGTTCCCGATACGTTTCTTCGTCAAGTAATGCCGAAAAGCGGATCGCATCGAATGTTATATCGCGTGCTTCAGCGACAGATGAATGCATCCATTTATATGTGTCTATATGCCTCTGCGCATATGTGGAACACTAGCGCTTTGATGCGCTATGTATCTCTTATGTCACTTTTCGGCGTTCCAAGCGATCCACTTTCCGGCGCTCTAAGCGATCCACTTTTCGGCGCTCCAAGCGAACCCCCGACCGAAGAAAGTGGAGTGCTGAGTGAGGAATCTATAGTGTGTAGAGTGTGAAGTGGGGATTGTGGAATGTGGAGTGTGCATCTTCTGAAAACGTCGCAAAAGTATTGCGCCTGCCACACAAAACGACTTTTGACACGTTACGAAACACGTCTGAAAGTCACGAAGTGCCATGCCGGCCACGCAAAACAACATTACAACCTACTTCCCCATAGACACGGCGAGGCCACAGGAAAACCAGAGACTCGAGACGAGACACGTTGGAGCATCAAAACGAGCATTTCGTGCGAGACATCCTCCAATTTTAATACTTTGTAGCTTCAAAAATCGACGTTTTCCTACGAGTTTTCTTATTGACCTCCAAATTGGCTACTTCAAAATCATTCAAAAGTGCTATACAACTGCCACGCAAAGCGAAGGTCGATGTCGCCAAGTGCCACGCCTGCCACGCAAAGTGCCGCGGCGCCGCGGGCAACTAACGGCGCCGAAGCGCGCCACCAGAGCCAACCCAATGTCATAAGGGCCACGCCTGCCACGCAAAACGAAGGTGGATGTGAGCAAGTGCCACAACTGCCACGCAAAGCGAAGGTCGATGTCGCCAAGTGCCGCGCCTGCCACGCAAAGTGCCGCGGCGCCGCGGGCGAATAACGGGGCCCAAGCGCGCCACCAGAGCCAACCCAGTGCCGTCCTGCCACGCAAAACGAAGGTTGATGTCGCCAAGTGCCGCGCCTGCCACGCAAAGTGCCGCGGCGCCGCGGGCAACTAACGGCGCCGAAGCGCGCCACCAGAGCCAACCCAATGTCATAAGGGCCACGCCTGCCACGCAAAACGAAGGTGGATGTGAGCAAGTGCCACAACTGCCACGCAAAGCGAAGGTCGATGTCGCCAAGTGCCGCGCCTGCCACGCAAAGTGCCGCGGCGCCGCGGGCGAATAACGGGGCCCAAGCGCGCCACCAGAGCCAACCCAGTGCCGTCCTGCCACGCAAAACGAAGGTTGATGTCGCCAAGTGCCGCGCCTGCCACGCAAAGTGCCGCGGCGCCGCGGGCAACTAACGGCGCCGAAGCGCGCCACCAGAGCCAACCCAATGTCATAAGGGCCACGCCTGCCACGCAAAACGAAGGTGGATGTGAGCAAGTGCCACAACTGCCACGCAAAGCGAAGGTCGATGTCGCCAAGTGCCGCGCCTGCCACGCAAAGTGCCGCGGCGCCGCGGGCGAATAACGGGGCCCAAGCGCGCCACCAGAGCCAACCCAGTGCCGTCCTGCCACGCAAAACGAAGGTTGATGTCACCAAGTGCCGCGCCTGCCACGCAAAGTGCCGCGGCGCCGCGGGCGAATAACGGGGACCAAGCGCGCCACCAGAGCCAACCCGCGCAAAACGAAGGTTGATGTCGCCAAGTGCCACGTCTGCCACGGAAAAACGCAGGTGGATGTGAGCAAGTGCCACGCCTGCCACGCCTGCCACGCCTGCCACACAAAGTGCCGCGGCGCGACGGGCGACAAACGGCCAAGCGGGCCACCAGAGCCAACCCAATGTCATATAAGTGGCACGCCCGCCGCGCAAAACGAAGTGGTTTGAAAGATGGTGTGTGACAAAGTTGTGTGTGTGTGTGAAAGATTGTTTTGAAAGATAGTGTGTGTGTGTTGCAAAGTTGTTGTGTGAAAGATTTTGTGTGTGTGACAAAGTTGTTGTGTAAAGATTGTGCGTGACAAAGTTGTGTGTGAAAGATTGTCTTGAAAGATTGTGTGTGTGTGGCAACGTTGTTGTGTGAAAGATTGTGTGTGACAAAGTTGTTGTGTGAAAGATTCTGCGTGACAAAGTTGTTGTGTGAAAGATTGTGTGGGACAAACGCGCGCGGAGGAGGAGGACGGGAGGAGGAGAGGCGGCCACACAAAGATGTGGGGAACTAGAAGTCGAAGGGGCTGGCTGTGAACCGCCATGCTACGTATGGTTTACGAAGTACTACTATACCTAATGTAACAATTGAATTATGCTTGGGTTTATAAAGCCATCTATCCATGAATCCATCCATCTGTCTGTCTGCCTGTCTCTTTGTCTATTGAACCCTGTACCTTCAAACCTATCTGCTTCATATCTCCCTCTTCTGCATCCGATCATCATCCACTCCGGCTGTCCCAACTCATTAGCAATCGGAAGGCTTAACATGTGGGGTTATCTGGTCCTTTATTTATAACTTTCCACGCTGTTTTTTGGGATTGAATCCAACCATTTATGCCATGAATTTTCTTTTCAGCATGGCCACTCGAGGGAGAACTTGTACCATCTCCCTTCCTTCGCTTCACCACTGGGCCCGCGCCTGGGCATCTGTTTGTGCCCGCAATTCCAAATCTTCCTTGAAGGCAATCAAATGCAAAGGCTTGTCGGACCCATGCAAACCTCGCAGTTGCAGGCCCGATGTTGACATGCAGTTTTTGGCAAAGCCAGAACAAAAAGATAGGAATGGGATAAAGTCCTAGTCTAAATTGTGGTGGTAAATTGGAAAAAATCTTTTTGGAGGGTTGCTATATCCAAAAAAAATGTTTGGTGGTTTCAACGAACATCAAAAACACAACAGTCAAGTGTTTGTAAACCATCCCGAATAGGGATTGAACATGTCAAATGTGGTAAAATTGTTATGAAATATATTACCAACCCAGTTACCCTTGGTGGTTTCAACATGTTTCGCGACATGAAATGCTTCTCGACCTTGCGGATATCTACAATCCACACTCCCTGGCTGGATAAAACCCACCAATCCCCATGGTGCATGAGGACAAGTCAGGGAATTCATCCCAACAGGGTGAAATGGTACAATGAGGACCATGAATGCTGGTGAAGGCTTTTGCTCCTTACTGTTTGAACTCGGGTCTCAACATTGCCGGCAAATTTTCTGTTGCATCAACATGACTGCCTGAAGAACAAACATCATGTGAGCAGTGTTCAAAGCCATCTGTCATCCCTCGATACTAATTAGTTACTCGTTGGAAAGGGGTTCCCACCAAGTCTAATATGAATGATGTTATTCACAAACATTCACAAACAATGGAATATGCATGTTGATGATAGTCACAATATCAGGTGGAAGTTTTCCAAAATTGGGGTATCTCCGACCATGGAAGTCAGACCATCACTTAGACTTAGCATTGAAATCTATGATTTTTTTGGGGTAGCACTATTTCAGGAAACCCCCAGGTAGGCTCACAACATTTAATGCCCCCCTGAACCAATCAATCAACAACACTCAACTGGCGGGCACTGCACCTGGGACTGGTACGTGATAGATATCAGCAGCCACCCGGATGCCAGCAGATCCACGGAAGGACATGCGCAGACACACGGGAGGCCAAAACTTCAGCCTGGTAAGGGTTTACGATCAAAACCACCGCTGAGAATGATTGTGAAAATGGTGGTTACCGTACTGGTCCGCTTTATCAAACATATGTAAATTGTAAATGAAACTAGCCATCGTGCACCATCATGTAATTAAACCACATTCAAATCCACAGTTTAACATCTATGACGTACGATCTGCCACCATGATTAAAAAACATCATCTAAGTCACAGTTTGAGGCATCATTTCAGCCACCACTCAGGCCATCCGGTAAACAATACTTTAAACCATCAATGAGTTGTATCTGAACCATCATTTACCAGTACCACAATGTACGTATATTTTTACCTGTCAGCAACCAGAACTCCGGAGCCTTGACTCCGACGACCCGCAGCTTTCTGTTGAGGACTGAATAAACTCCGCAAAGCGCTTCCGCTCCTGGAAACATCATGGCACTTAACGCAAATATCGAAACCACAAGCCCCATCTGGCAAGGAAAACCTTCTTGGAAGGGAAAAAACCTTGCACATAGAAAATGAAATGTGGTGAATGCACGTGTGATACAACACCAAAAAAATAGGCACACACACCCTTCTTGGAAGGGATCACCTAAGGGAAGACCACGTTGAGGTGATCAAAATCTGAATGCTGATGCTCGTTCGAGATCTGAGAAGCTGCAACCGCATGTGCTGGTAACGCCCTCGCTGGCAAGCTTGGCCACAATCACAGGCTGCAGATCCAGAACAACAAGAACGTCCAACGGGCAAAATTGGCAAGGACGACAGGTTTTGGCACTAACTACTTTGATGTGCATTCTGCTTAGGATCCGTGGTTTATAATCCATATACAACCCCTATTTCATCCCGTATTTAAGTGGGGATATTCTATATATATATATACCTGGAGAAAATCAAAAATTACCGAGAACAGCCTGGAATCTCATCATGTCATTCTCTCATTTAGATAGCCATGGACTGGACTGTATTCACAAGCGTGTGGTCTTACATGACTCTCAGTTGTCCTCCTCGAAGAGTAAGGAATCAAAAGACTTGCCCGCCATGCTCACTGTGGTGGTGATCAAATGTTGCCTCGGATTCACTTAAGAACCCCTAGAGGGAAAAAAATGTCCCATTTGGTGGTTCCCCAGTCATGGTGGACTAACCAATGAGAAAATAAAAAATAATACCTCAGGAACTTTAAGATTGAAATCCAAGTAGATTCTGAGTAGGTTCCTACCAGTAGTACCGCGCAAGGCAGTGGCGGCAGTTTCAAAGATAGGAAATGTATAGGAGCGGTGAATTGTTGTGATGCATGGATGGTAGAGCAAGCTGATGGACCGAAAAGTGGTTATATAGGTGGCTGAGGCTTTGAGTCTCTCTCCGTCTCTCTCCGTCTCTCTCAGTCTCTCAGTCTCTCTGTCTCTCTGTCTCTCTGTCTCTCTCTCTCTCTCTCTCGCTCTCTGTGTCTCGTCCCTGTCTCCTCTCTGTGTCTCTGTCTCTATCTATTCATCTATCTATCTGTCTATCTGTGTAGCTGTCTATCTATCCATGTGTCTGTCTGTCTGTCTGTCTGTCTGTCTGTCTGTCCGTCCGTCCGTCCGTCTGTCTGTCTGTCTGTCTGTCTGTCTCTCTGTCTCTCTGTGTAGTTCGGCGCGTGCAACCAAAAAATGACGCTAGAATGTCTAAAATCTAAAAGTGGTCCGATCGTGGTGTGCTTTGCACATTTTGACCTCGAAACATGCTTCGCGCCACAACGTGCGCTTCTTCGACACCTCAAGTTCCAAAAGTGGTCTGAACATGTTGTGCCCTTAACATTTTGACTTGGAAATGTGCTTTGCGCCGCAACGGCGTGCACTTTTTGAACATCTCAACTTCCCTTCCAACAGTGCCCTGAGCATGAGGCGTCTTTACAATTGTTTATTCGACATGTGCTTCGCGCCACAGCCGCACGCACTTTTTCGAGAGCTCAACTTCCAAAAACGCTCCGAAGCTGAGGTGCTTTTAACATGTTGACTTTGAAATGGGCTTCGCGCCAGGGCGGCGTGCACTTTTTCGACGCCTTAACTTAGAGCACGAGGTGTCTTTAGCATTTGGACTTCAACATGTGCTTCGCGCCACAGCGGCGTGCAGTTTTGGATCTCTCATCCGACCAGATGGCTCCGCGCCCGCCGCTTTAGCTGGGGACACAAAACATCGGAAAAACACGGTGTTTCACAACTTTTCTGCCTTTTCGCGCACCTTGATCTTCATTTTTCTGACTGTCTCTTCTGTCTCTTTCTCTTCTCTGATTGCTCTCACTACTGTTGCTGCGTCTGTCCATGAGTCGGAAGCTTGCCTTCTAAACTTCCTTCGACTAGATTGCCCAGAGCCTTTGTTTATCAAGATTATCCTATGTTAATCTATATTATCTACATTGCTTTATCTTTAGCAACTCTAAGTTGCAAGCATTTGCTTTCGCCACAGATTTCGAAGTTGTGATCCAACAGGACCTCGCCATCACAGACCTCAGAGCGGATGAAAGGATTGGAGGATTGGAGACCCATCGGATCAATCATATTGGCATTTTGCGCCGCTGTGGCTGAAGTGAAACTGCTGTTGATGAGTGACCACCCTCGACATAATGTATGTTGGAATCGTTTCTTTCAAATTTCAGCTGGCATTTGAATCTGAAGCAGTTGTCGGCTTTTACACCAACCATCACTACTGGGCTCTACATCTGCTTAGGTGAGAAGAATATGATTTTGTTTTATCCGCATGGTGACTATGGTCCAAAAACAACATCGTATCTGCGAACACCTGAATATCTTATAGGTTTTATGGTTTTGGGGATATCTGGGATGTATTATAAGTTGACCCGTCATCCCATCCACGTATGGCTAATCTATGCTATGTTAATCCAGTCCCAGTCCAATCATCCAACATCAGGTGGACCTTCCAACCTTACCCCAATCCCACCATCCAGTCAGCTGCACATTCCCCCAGTGATATCCATGCGTAGCACAAATAATTTCGAGTCGACCTATCCATTCCATCCGCCAAAAACCGCTGAGTAAAGTATATATAGAATGTTGTCCCGTGGTAACCCCTCCCAACGGACCGTACAGGAGTCATTGCACGGTCCAATCACCAGCAAACATCTTCCAAACTCATGGCAAATAAGAAACAGAAAATGGCCCACACATAGTCACACCCATCCCATTCATCCAATCCGCTGTATCTACCTCTCTAGAACTGCTTCCCAAATTAAATCCGTTTATGGCAAAACAGGAGTCTAGCATTTTAGCAACCCTTAAAATATCGAAGAAGTACAACTCTTTCAGTTATACGGATCTCACTCAAAACTCTGCATTTCTTTTTTTGGGGGCTGACTAATTTAACATAGCTTAGTTACTCCACATCCCTTTCCATTTGCAGCCATCTGCAGCCATCTGCAGCCATACCAGTAGTTTTTCGATAATTTCAAACTCATAAAACACCTATACAATTTTTGTAAAATAGTTAAAATGATGGTAAATCATGAGACCCTTATCGTTACTGCAACAAATCATGGTTAACTTAATCCCCTTAAGTTCTCACGTTTTACGGCTGCCAGGCTGCCCCCCGTAGCATCCGTCGAAAGCTGGAGACCAAACTCTCCGCGTCCGCCGTCTGCAGCGTTGCCACGACACGCGCGCGCACCCAGAGTTCCAGCACACAGGAGGCGAAGATGTTGGCCAGGGTGAAGGTAAGCCTGAGGCCAAAAAGGCAGAGATCGAAGGGAGATGGAGATTTTAGGTGTCTATATACATGTATATACTGTATATATATATATTTATTTATACGCGTAGATTTATTTTATAGACTTATGAATAAAAAATAGTAATATATGTATATATATATATACACAGACTTTATAATATAGTATATATACTGCAAATGCGAGGCAAGCGCACTTTCTGCACGCTTGAGCCACAGTAAGTTTGGAGACTGAAGTGAACGTACCCTTAAGAGTCAGTAAATAGTGATACATTGGCCCTTGAACGTTACGCCTCCCCCTCCAAATTGTGCAGCTGGGATGGTGTCCAGCCAAATTTAGAAGCATGTAATATCTTGCTGAACCTACTGCTGCTACTCTTAAAGGATGTGGATACTGTATGCATTGCGGCAAAACCTCGAGAAAACCACAAAGAAAAAACAACAAAAACAAAATCTGTTCAGATCATGTTTTGGTCTGAAGTTCATGCTTTTGCTTTTTTGGTTTTACCTCAGTTACTTTGATTTGAGAATCTGAATTCTGAAGAGAGTTCAGACTTGAAAATCTCAAGTCTGATGACATGATAAGGATCCAAGATGTGCAGAAATCTTGGATCCAGATCCAAGCTCCAAGACCCAAGATGTTCAAACAACTTTTCTTGGATCTAGGGCACAAATCTTGGATCCAGATCCAAGCTCCAAGATTTTCAAAAAACGTGTTTTGGATCCAGGGCAAAAAGCCTTGGACCCAAATGGGATTGCTGGATCCAAGATTTTCCAAGAAAAGTTTTTTATTGTATTTTACCAGGTCAACCGACAATGGGGTGAAATACTAAGCTAACACCGTTAAGCACTCAGCTCTTTTGAACCAACGCTATCGGGCAGATCGATGATATATACAATACATGGTTTTACTGCAGGAGTTTTTACACCCCCCTCGGGCGAGCAGGGACGACTGCGGAGAACGAATAACCCAGAAAAGCATACCCTCGCGGGTAGCCGAATTTCTTTAGTTGGTTTTAGACATTTTGTGCAGTCTTTCAAAGGTCCCTCTAAAAAGCTCAAGCCCGTAAAACCCAGCGCAGCGTTGCAAGGAAGGCACATTACCATGCCACATCTTGCGCTATGCTACAAAAGAAAATCATCGTCTCCCTAACGGTTCCAAAAGATCCAACGGCCGCCGGCCTCGTCACGGTAATACCAAGCCCCACGCCAGAAACTCCATTCTCGGCGTGCACCATAGTGATCACGATTCCAACTCCAAGAGGCATCCGGGCGACCGGAGCTTGCAGCCTTCGAAGTGACTCCTGCGGTTGCTGCTTTTGCAGTGGGCGGTGTCTCAGGCTCCAAGAATGGTCGTGCTCCTGCTTTGGATGTTGGTGGTTCGGGTACCAGAAATGGTGCGGCTGGGGCATCAGCGTGCGAGGCATCTGCGCGAGCAGAGCTTGAGGCGGCTGTGACATCTGTTGCGGTTGCGGATGCATCAGCTTCGGCTTTGCGCTTTCGCTCAATGGTGGGCGCGACCGTGGGGTCGGCCTTATGACCTCCAGGACCTCCAGCCTTTGCAGCGGCGCTCTGCTTCTCTTTGCGTTCAAGATTGCTCCGAACCAAGGGAAGGTTTTCCTCATACACCTTTTCGAGGAAATCACGAGTGCCATCAAGAGGGACTTGGACAGTACCCTTCCAGGTCAACAGGCCACGGAATGCGCCACGACGGCCGATGTAGCTGACATATTCATCCTCTGTAAAAATGTGGCGGCCAAACATGAAACCCCAGACCTTCTTCCATGTTTTGCGGAACTCAACTGGGAAGCCATCAACGCCACGAGGCTGAGACATGAAAATCAACTTAGATAAGCAGTTCTCATTTTGGGCATTGGCGGCGACGCCAGCCGAGATCTGAGCTTTGGTCCTTGGGGGATCGGGGAGGTTGCCATATGCGAACATATCGTCAAATATGCAGTCCTGCAGGTCCTTCCCCTCACCGTGGATGCGGTCGCAAAAAGTGACGTCGCTGGAGTATCTATCTTCCACGTCCTCGTAGCTCAGCGCTTTTGCACGTCGATGCCTGTCGCGGCAGTCTTTGAGGACTGCTGATTCCACGGATGTGATTCCCCTGGGGCCCAGTTCTCGGCGTAGCAGGTTGGCTTGCTCTTCCGTCAAGGCTGTCAGCAAGCTTCCGCTCATCTTCCCAAACATTCCGAACCCGGCGAGACTTTGCATTCGCCGTTCAAGGATGCGGGTCCTCCTGTTGGGTTTGTTGGCCTCTTTTGTATCGCCACTTTCGTCCACTGGGAGTGGCTCAAAACCACATGTGGTGCATGTCACTTGGCCACTGACGTACTCAACCTGGCAGAGGGGACAGGAGCCCATGAAAGGTTCGCAGTACTTGGGTGCAATGTAAACACGGCGCGTCCTTGCGGGCGGCTGGTCAACTTGCATTGAGGCAGTGGCTGCATCATCATCAGTGGACTTGGCATCGGGTCGCCCCGTGCTGGTGTCATCCATTGGGTCGTCATTTGCATCATCTCGGGCAGTCAAGGTGACCGCTTTGGCTTTCGGTGCTGAGGCAGATGCCGCGCCAGTCCATGTGCTGGGCTCGAGATTGCTCTCGGCGCGGGACCAAAGCACCTGTCCTTCTTCTGAGATGCTGACCAGAAACTGCGGTGGGATGCGTTCTGAGCACAAAATCCCATCCATTTCTGTGCGACTAAAGATGACACCAGCTTCAACTGCTTGCCGCATTGCGATTTTGACTTCGATTGGACATTTTGCTCTTAATCCAGATCGATACCCCTGCGTGCCAATACAGTGTTCTGCCATGTAGATATGGGCACGGCCACTGTTGACTGTTGCACCGCCGCCTGGGATCAGGCCGTTCTGTGCGATGCTCTTCCAGCTGCTTTTCATCGTGCGATGGAAGACAACCTCAGGAACCTCAGTCATGGCACACAGGGGCACGCCAGTGAAGGCGGCTTTTCGCTCGGGGGATACATGGTCTGAGCAATACACCATGGTTGAATTGGCATAAAGACCCCCTGCGGTTTTCAAGGCAGCTTCGGAGTGACCCTGAATTGCACGGATTTTCACAGGATAATACGGCATGCCTAGGCCATTGTCGACAGGAAAATGGGAGATCTTTGCACACAAGAATTGGAACCTACTCTTGCCATGCTTGTCGATCTTCATTGCGGTGCCAAACAGGTTTGCGACAGTGATGAAAACATCTGGGGGCACTTCCTTGCGGAAGGCTTTGGCGAAATCCTCCAAGTCAATCCAAAGGTCTTTGTCCATTGGCACCTTGGCACAGGATCCATGCCCCCTGCAAACTTTGTTGACACGAGTTGCAAAATCAGAAAACTTCTTGTCGACGCGAGTCTGGCTGGCAATGGTCTCAACGTCGGATGCCGATATCAGCTCCAGCTCATAAGCCGTACCTTCAAAGAGGATGCCGGGCACATCGTCCCCGTCTGCATTGGTCACCATTGTATATTGGTATTCAGGCAAATGCTCTTCCATCCAATATGCTTTCACGTGGCCAGATGCTTGTCCCTCGAAGCGCGCAGTTGCCTGCGGCTGGTACTGGCTGGATGTGGCTCCCTTGTCATCTGCGGGCTCATCCTTTGATGCTGGTGCTGCTTTCGGCCGCGACTTCAACATGACCTCAGCTGTCTGGACCAGGATTGTTGCTCTGCTGGATGCAGCGGGCTCGCCGTCGCCGGCGGCCTTTGGAGGGTCATCTTTGGGAGGCTCAGCAAATGTGCCCGAAGGCATCGTCTTGATGTCGATGTAGTCCTCAGTGTCAGGTTGTTGAGCTTCGACGTCCTCCTTGGTGAATGACCTGCCCGTCGGCACAATGTGTCTTCGGGACTCTCCAAAAAGCAACTTGGTGATGTTTGCACATGTCTCCTGATAGGATCTTGGCAGCTCGTCCAGGACGGCGCTCATGTTCCTCCGCAAATCATCCCATGTCTCCTGGGCACACTCAGAAAGCTCCAAACCAATTTGGCCGACCCGCCATCCGGAATCAAGTGCGAAAAGGGTAGCTGTCCAATAGGCAGCAAGGCGCGTGCGATTTTCTTCAGAGTTGGCGAAATGCCACTGGTCTCTGAATTCCATTGCATCGGCGTACCCCTTTGCTTTTAGCCACGGATACCGCGGATTGGCACGCCCTTGCAGGCTGCTGGTTAGAGCTTTGAATCGGGGCTCCAAATGGTCGAAGAATTGATCGAAAATTGGATGAATGCCGTAATCTGCGCTCCAGGGCGCGGTCGTGAGACCGGCCGTCTGCAAGTCCAACTCCCGGGCCTTGTTGATGAACCATGTCAAGTGGCGCTCACAATCATCCAGGATCGTGGGCCAGTGCCCGTTGGGACCATCGTACGGCCAATTTGGATTTTGGGCAATTCCATCCTCCCCTACCAATTCATTTCCGAACCAGGACAAGTGCAGGTTGATGCGTGCATGAGGATAGCGCTCGCGGGCGTCCGCGGCCAATTCGATCCCTCTCTTTACCAACTTCTGCAAAGTTTTGCCCCAAAGCATCTCGTGGATGAACTCAGTCACGTACTTGGGTTTGCGCTGTCGGTAGTGCTCGGAAAGATCAAACTTCTTAAGTGTCTTCCTACGCCCTGTGATCAATGCACATGACGAGTCAGAGACTAAGATCCAGATTACGTCATTGACGGGCATCTCTGGCAGCATGATCTTTTCGATGTGGGACTCCTTTGGCAAAAAGCAGAAACTAAGGTATTCTGCAAGCGGATCCTCTCGACCATAGAACCTCAGGGCCGAAGCCGGCGTCCATTCGGTCATCAAACCATCCACAAGGTCCTGAGCAGCCTGATTCTCACCTTCATTGCGCATGGCCAATGCATACAAAATGCGATTGTGAAGGAGCAACCATGCTTCTTTGTTAGCCTCACGTGTGGCTTCGAGCGCAGCCTCGCGGCTGGCCGGGTGTGCTGTGGCATATCGTGAGTCAGCCATTTTTGCAGG